AGGGCGATTGAAGCAGTGTATCACCTTTTGTCTCTGAAGTGTAAATGATTTGTCCCCTCTTCCAGTGACTGTCTGGCCTGCCTTTAGGCGGGAACAAAACCGCCTTCGCATTCAACGGACCCTCCGGAGGCATCTTGGCGGCTCCTGTCATCCGCGGTGGTCTGGTGATTGTAAGTGGCTGCCGCCGACGGGCCTCCAAATGCGGTTGCCACGGAGATTGATCGGTATGCCGGACAGCAGTGTGCTCACTCGGTGACAACGACGACGACGACAACGGCGTTGGCAACGGTGGCGGCGACAACCAAGTGGGGAAGACGGGCATCATCATTGCACCCGGTTGCAAGGCCGACGACGCTTGCGGTTGCTGTGGCGGCAGCGGCAGCGGAGGCGGCGGAAAGATAAAGGTGGCGCCCGGAGGCAGATGTAGCTGAGGAGACTGGTCTCCGACTGCCAACGGGGCGGGGAACTGAGTGGACGCCAGAGATGGGCATATTTGCGCGTAGGCGGGATGAAACTGCGAGGACAGCCGATAAAGCGGAGAGTTCTGCTGTTGCTGTTGCTGGTGCTGCCGCAGCAGCTGCTGTTGTTGAAGAAGCTGCCTGTTCCTCAACTTGGTCAGATGCGAGGGCGGTGGACCCGCGGCGAGGGTCAGGTCGTCGATGGTCTTCGACGGCATCGGGAACAGAATGTCGAGAGGAGACGTGAGCCCACCAGCCGACGTCGGCGTCGGCGTCAGCGTCGTCGTCAGCGGGACGGCCTGAGCAGAAGCAGAGGGACAGGGAAGCAGCAGCGGGGCGAGGTGGAGGAATGCGGCGCTGGCAGCGGCGGGGTCGGCAGACGACGCCGTTGTCGGCAGGCCGTCGGGCCCCAGCTTGACGTTGAGGCGATTGGTGGCGAAAAAGTTGCCGGCCTGGAAGGTCGGGCCGGCCGGAGTTGTCGTGACGAGGCCGGAGGAGACGTCCGTCGGAGCCGAACCGGCAGAGCTGGCCACGTGGGCTGTGGGCCGCGTTGACAGTTGGCCAGAAGACCCGGCGACTCGGGTCGGTCGGATCGCAGGCAAGAGCTTCAAGGCGGCCTGGCGACAGGCGGCATCATGTCCCGGGTTCAAGGATTCGCTGCTGCGAGCCTGGCCTGACCGCAGACCAACTCGATTGGCAGATCTGCCCGGCAGGAGGCGGAAAGAAGGAAAAAAAGTCAAATTATTACGCTGTTAGTAATAAATGTATTATTGTTATTAGTATGAATAATGATTATCGTACATACTATATTATATTATTATTATTATTTAAAAAAAACTGAATTAGCTAATTGAAGATATGCTCGCAGTCTCCTTTCGATTTATAGAAATGGGTCTTTTTGACGAGTTGGTAGCTTGGCACGGCGAATGGCAAAACTGACTGATGATGCCGACTACGAGGCCGGAGCAACGTTTGAGAATGTACAAAGTCGACTGTCTGCTGCTGGGAATCATGACGACTACTATGACAGACGACTTCGGACTAGGTGCGTTCTACTATGTCGCTCTGACAACAAGACCAAGTTGCGACAACAAGGTCACCCATTTCTATAAATCGAAAGGAGACTGCGACCATA